GGAAGCAGAAGAGGCTGACGAACATCTCGACCATCTCCAGCGGCGGCATGTCCTCTGCCGAGCGCATGTTCTCCAGCACAGGCTCACGCAGCCGTTGTCTGGCGAACGAAGGGCGCGCGATCAGCCGCGGCAACAACGCTCGCATCCCCCACGCAGGCTACGCTGTGGGTGGATTTATTCGACACACAAGCAGGCACCATTCAGGTTTCAGGTCAGTGGCGATCAAGCGATAACAAACACCTGCCGGGCACGTCCGACCCTCCGAAGTTCTAAAACGCTCCAAGTTTCCGCCTCACTGTCCTTGGTCATGCATCTCAGCCTGGTGTCACACACGGAGCCTGGTTTCAAGGCGCCGTCTTCATGAACGCTGCCAGATTGTGCCGCCAGCATTTTACGACAAAACCAGGCCTGGGCTGGTACAGCATACCGTTACCGCACATTTGTTGCTGTCGTCACGACAGGGAAACGCAATTGAACACGCCACCTTCAAAATTTCCTTCGAAGCAACAATGGAAAGCCTTTGCTGAAGCTAGCAGCCCCGGCAGACGTCCTCGGCCGCCGACGGCACGGCGCTGAGTTGGCAGCTCAGCTCAGCTCAGCCCCGGCCCGGCACCCCAGCCCAGCCCAGCCCAGCCAGCCCAGCCCAGCCCAGCCCAGCCCAGCCCCAGCCCAGCCCAGCCCAGCCCAGCCCAGCCAGCCCAGCCCAGCCCAGCCCAGCCCAGCCCAGCCCAGCCCAGCCCAGCCAGCCCGCCCAGCCCAGCCAGCCCAGCCCAGCCCAGCCCAGCCCAGCCCAGCCCAGCCAGCCCAGCCCAGCCCAGCCCAAGCCCAGCCCAGCCCAGCCCAGCCCAGCCCAGCCAGCCCAGCCCAGCCCCCAGCCCAGCCCAGCCCAGCCCAGCCCAGCCCAGCAGCAGCCAGCCCAGCCCACCAGCCCAGCCCAGCCCAGCCCAGCCCAGCCCAGCCCAGCCCAGCAGCCCAGCCCAGCCCAGCCAGCCCAGCCCAGCCCAGCCCAGCCCAGCCAGCCCAGCCCAGGCCAGGCCCGTACTGTGTATGTAGGTGACGGTGTTGACGCTGAGCCCGCTCCTGCTGAGCGCCATCAGCACCTCGCTGGCCGACTTGCGCCAGCTGACGTTGTGCGGCGGACACGGCGACGTCATGGCCGAGAAGAGCAGGCTCAGATCGTCGCGGCGCGCCAGCTCGTCCGCCGCACAAGCGCTGCTGCACAGCCGGCTCATCAGCTGAAACAGGGCCGACGCGTGACGTCAGTCTGACGTCACTGGGACCGCTCGCGTAGGCGGACTGTCCGCTAAAACAATCGGACACGTGACGTTCCTTTGATGTCGCCCACAAACGCTTTGACCTTAATCTGCTTGCACTTACGCTTGCTTGCAAGCGGACGTCCACTGCTTCCTAGTACTGGCTTTCATTACAAACACATGCCATTTGGATACTGTGCTGATTCCCACGCACACATCGCCCCCGTTTGTCGACCCCCGTCGTTCGGTCGGTTACGACGCTTGCCTCCCACCCCACTCCCGGTGGGGTGGGTGGACGCGTGTCACTCAGCAATCGCTATTTTTCATAAGCTAGGGTGGTCCGCGGCCGGTGACGTCCGCTCGAGGTCAGATACGGTGGCAGCGGCCGCGCCAAAGGTCAAGTGACGTCAGAGGGCAGGACGGACCGTGTCGGGCGACGCGACACGCTAAGCATTCGCCGCGAAGTTATGACAGCTGACCTCGAATTTTGGATCTGATCTGATCGATCGGGGGTGGTGTGTGTGTGGGGGGGGGGGGGGGGTCTGGGCCCATACAGCACACACTGTTTGGCATGAGCCCCGATCCCAATATTCATCCCAATCAAAATATTCCGGACAATACGCATTCAAAAAATCAGTTGATTCCATCATGGTCTAAAAACGAGCAAGATACAACAACAGTTCATTGATGAAATTTTTCTCAGCTAGCTACTGAAATACATAACGTCAATGACTACAACAATCATTTGATACCCTCATCGCTTGACAAGCCACGACATAACACAAATAAACCTTGGAGCTCCGGATGTAAAAATTCACTAGAAGGGTCGTAGTTGAATCATCGAAGGCAGGGCATAGGCTGAAAAGGTTCCCAGACATCGTTGTGAAAACGCTGTGCACACGTGCACTCCATAAATTACAAAAAAAAATATATACAGGTTCGGACACTTCATCTGAAGCTACACCTCCTCGCGGAGGGGGTGTGGAGGAAGGTGGGGGGGGGGGGGGGGGGGGGGGGGGGCTAGGCAAGACCAATCACTGGAGGAGTCGGCCTCATCACCTGGACAAAACACCTTCTGCAGGAGGGCCGACTCTCGTGGGGCGTGACCTCGGTGCCGGCGGCCACGTCCGTGCCCAGCTCGGGCAGGTCGAAGAACAGGTACAGACACTTGACCAGCGTGACGGCAGGGCGGCGGCCACCATCGCCTTGAGGCGCGGCCGCAGGCGCACGGCTCAACCAACGTGACGTCACGACGGCATGGCCGTGCGGCGACACTCAGCTGAGATCAAGCCGGGCTAATCGATACGTGAATTATGTCTCTTTTTAACCGAAACAACGCCCACACGTCGTCACGGCCTTTTACGGAGCGCCAGCGACTGCACATTGATGCTCAAGGGCGATGGTGAGACCGTGATCTGAACCCGGCCCCCAATTGGGATAACCACGCTCTCAACCCTTGGTTATTACGCCCTCTTCGACACGTGAATAAAGAGCGAAGGAAAACTCTCTGCACCAAAGTCTGCGAGCAGAGCATACGCTCAGAATCCGCAAGTCTCAGCACGATATTCACATTTCGCTAGCTTACAATGGCTTGACATGGGCCACAGCCGGCGTGGAAATGTGGATTAAAAAACCATTTATCAAGGCTAAGCTCAGAGGCAACCAAGAGGGGCGTGACATTTCGGGGGCGCCTTTTCAACGGCGCATGATCCGCGACTGTACTGAATCAAACCAGTGGGCAGCCCACTGGGTGATCAATGGCTGGCCCTACACGCGTCTGCATCATGCCCAGCATCTGATCATCTCACGCAACGAGCCGCACACCCCGAACACGACGGCAGCCGGCCGCCCGAATGCCAACCGAACCCTGTCCGACGTCCAACGGTCTCCACGCGGCGCGACCGCGACCCGCACGCCGCACACAAACAGCGAGGGTGAAACGGTGACGACTTAATACGCGGCTCACACCCCTCCAGCCACTCCTACGTACTGACATGGCGCTTGTGACTTAGTGCGGAAATAATCGACCAAAAACTCCACCGTGGTATCCCCCCCCCCCCCCTCACCCTCCAAACCCTCGCAGCCGCAGCAGCAGCGGACGCGCCTGACCTGAACGACGGAGGGTCCGGCCGAGCTCAGCAGGGTGAGCGTGTTGAGCAGCGTCCAGCCACTGGAAGTCTCCTCGGCGCCGCCCAGCTCCAGGTAGCTGACGGCGGCGTGATGCGTCGGTCCCAGGCCGACCGACGGGCCCCACCCCACCCGCCGCCGGTGGCCAGTTCAAGCGAGACGATGCGTTGATGGCGACGGCGCCAGCCGCATTGCGGCGACCACGGGGCTGTGTCCGTCAGCTGGCAAGACAACCGAGCGAGGCGCATCCCCGAGGCATCGGCTGATCGCGGGGTTTAAGGACGGGGGCTCAGGCCCGCGTACCTGCATACAGCGTCTGCCAGCCACCGGCGCAACCACGCCAACCAGCGTGACAGGCGGCCACGCCGAAAGCCAGAGCCGCGTGTGCGATGGACCACAGCTGTAACCCGCACGCCGACATCGACCACTCACCGCTCACGACCCCCACTACACACACGGCACGGCTCGCCGCACAGCCCGCCGGCCAGCCGAGCAGCGCGCTCCAGCGCCGCGGCGGCCTCGCGTCCAGCGCCGCATCCCTCCGGCCGGCTGACACTCACCTGATGACCTCGTAGCTGGCCAGCGCTGTGTTCTCCGGCCGACTGACACTCACATAATGATCTCGCAGCTGGCCAGCGCTGTACTCTCCGGCCGGCTGACACTCACATAATGTTCTCGCAGCTGGCCAGCGCTGTGTTCTCCGGCCGACTGACACTCACATAATGATCTTGCAGCTGGCCAGCACCGACACTGATGATTCCTGACTCACCTGATGACCACATGATGATGATGAGACTCATCTGATGATCTCGTAGCTGACCAGCGCTATGTTCTCCCGTCAACCGGCACTCACATAATGATCTCGCACCTGGCCAGCGCTGTGTTCTCCGGCCGACTGACACTCACCTGATGATCTTGCAGCTGGCCAGCACCGACATTGACGATTCCTGACTCACCTGACGACCACATGAAGATAATCAGACTCACCTGATGATCTCGCAGCTGGCCAGTGCTGTGTTCTCGTTGAAGGCACGCCGCCGGATCTCCGCCACCATCAGCTTGGTGGTGAACTCACTCAGCTGGATACACTGCGGGAAGCGGTCGGCGATCTCCTGCCCGGAGGCGCCCGCGAACACCTGGCACCAGCAACAGGAAGCAATGAGGTATACAATGCAGTACAGGGCATCAAATTCACATAACACAGTAGGCCGTCCAGGTTATGCTGCTATTTTATTACCATTGTCACGGATGTGCCATAGGCTGACTTCTTTAAATGCTTGTGTACAGAAAAACAGACTCAGTTGCATGGTCAGGGCCCTCTGTGGTCTGTCAGTCACCTATATGTAGATGCACACATCACCTAAGATAGGCACAAAAATTCTGGCTTTCTGATGCATACATCTCATACATGCTTAGTCAATGCACACTAAGGCCAATGCAGCCAACCCTGCGACATATGTAGGCTCAATCTTCTTGTAATTGTCTGGTCCTGGGCACTTACTCAGCATCCACCACATACATGGCAAACACATTTCTCCATTTGTCACTTCAGGTTCTAGGGTGGATGATTAGGTAGACAAATGCTCTCAATCTTAACCCTTCCTCCTCCTTGAATCACAATTTGAAAAATTCTGACCCATGGGATCCCACTTCATTTATGAGTGCCAAATGAATTTGTGCTTTATACCTGCTAATGGACATACAAAAAGCAGGGGGACACACCTCAGACACCCACCAGAGTCACTCACCTTGCAGAATAGTGGCAGCATGCTGTACAGCTTGAGCTCCCGCTCAGCCTCAGTTAGTGGCTGGGGTGGGCGCACATATTCGCCATACAGTTTCTTCAGGTGTGTAAGGCTCAGTGCAATCTGCTGGCTCATAACAGCATCTTCTGGGTGGGAGCCACTGCTCCCCCAGAACTTTTTCATAATATTCATGGTGTGGTATAGTGCTGGCAGGAAAAGTTCACATGTGAGAACATGTTATCATACACCAAGGCTGAGAATGGACATATCTAGTGGAAGTGCTTGTGAGTCCATGCTTACATGCCAAAAGGATTAACAGCTATTGCTGGCAAAATCACAGCCGAAGATGAGCAACACTTACGAAATTTGTATATCATCCACCCATTTTAGACCCTCAAGCTTGCTTAAATTGAGCAACATTACACTTATAGAGCAATATGATAGACATCAAGTAAAATAAGTGCCTAAAACAGGAATGAAGTTGCTTTTTCTAAACTAGCAAAGCATTCATAGCCAGTAACACAAACAGAAACAGTAAACAGTAACAGAAAACAGTAACATCCCTGGCACCAATACATGTCTGCATCCCAAATAGGTGTGGGTGATCATGATAGGCTTAAAATTGATCAAGCTCAGAAAAGCATGCAAACTCCCAATGGTTTGCAGCCTTCAGATACAGCAAGTATACATAAGGTGCTCTTTCACCGCATACCTGACTTACAATTTCTTGGAAAGGGGTGGTGCCCCGGCCTGATCATTCATCACACCTAGGGCATTTTCGTATCGCCATCTACATCCTGCATGTTCTTTAAGACTGGATCGGGGTCAGCAAACGTCATGTGCATGGTGTACGCTGGCATCAGACTGCGTATCACGCCCCCTCGGCACGCATTTAGGGTCTGTGGTGCATTCATATAACACAAGCCACACAACGTTTGCACCAATATACACACCATACAGCCACGAGCGACTCGTCCATGCTTCTTACCTGCTGGTGCCAAATATTGTAAATAAATAGCATGTTCTGTCCTCACTCACTTCGACCTAATCAACCACACACCAACACCACCTCTCGTGCTGCACTCTCGCACAGCAACAATAAGCGGCGAATAAATATTGCACTGACAAGGAGTCGTGCAATGGAAAGCATAATATGCGTCTTGTAAACATTCCGTCGGATCATCTTATGACGTCACTGGGAAGCATTTTATCAGGCGACGACATTTGGCAAGTCCTATTTTAGCATGGTTACTTGGGTGCAGAAGGGGGGGGGGGGGGGTGGGAGGAGGTTAAATCTCCACTATTAACTGCCAAGTTCCCCAACAAACTGCAAAATCTATTCAGTGTAAACCTTGTTATGCCTGACTCATTGTGGCAGCTTACGCCCAGCCTGGTCTTTGGAACGGTCAGGCAGACACGGGTAGGACCCTCACCTCGCTGTCCCAGCGGATGAATTGCGGAGGGGTGGGCTGGTAGTTCGATTCTGAGTTATATTAAAGCAATGCCGCGTATTTCGCCACCCTTGCAGTGACATCGACAGTTCCACACACTTTTCATTTTCAGTTTATTTCAGAAAGAACCGGCTGGCTTGTAATCCCATGACGTTGCGGTTAAGTTGCCCCTATTCGCATACGTGGATTTAACAAGTTAAGCGGCAGTCAGCCCGCCGAAGATATGTTTATGTTTTTGCGCGAGCAACAAGACTCTTAGTATCTCCACGCGTAGAAAGACGTTGATTTATGTGAAAAGCGAAAGGGCAACAAATGAAGAATCGCAGATTGACGACGGTCGTGAGGATCGCACGTGTGGTTTATTCGTTCAGTGGTACTTGAAGCTATCGGAGATGTAAGGATAACATTGGACGAAATGGGAGTTATGGATACTGCTCGAACTCATAAGTGTCGATTTCTCAACATAATTGGGGGATAGAGTCTTTGTAAGTCGCCATAAAGGGGCAGGTGCGAAAAGCTCTGCTGTCCATAGGTAAAACCCCATATGTTCATTTCTAACCATTGTGCGGTTGTTATGTCATTTGATTCGTCTTCTCATGCTGCATCCGGATATTCAAACCGATAGTTGGAATTTTACACACTTTTAGCTAAAAGAAATGACTCATAGTTTGTGAAAATTTGCCCTGATTGTTTGAATAATCGAAATCAGCATGAATAGGTGAATCAGATGACATAAAAAGCGAAAATGGCCAAAAATTAACATATGGAGTTTTACCTTTGGAAGGCAGAGCTTATCTGGCACAGTTCACTTACACTCTAAATTTCTGGCTATCCACTCTGTACACACACACACACACACACACACACACACACACACACACACACACACACACACACACACACACACACACACACACACACACACACACACACACACACACACACACACACACACACACACACACACACACACACACACACACACACGCACACGCACACGCACACGCACACGCACATGCACACGCACACGCGCACACACACACACACACACACACACACACACACACACACACACACACACACACACACATATATATATATATATATATATATATATATATATATATATATATATATATATATATATATATGTATGTATATATAATACAATTGCTACCTATCTTGTAAACTCACGTGCGTAGCAACAGCAATCGCATATGGAAGCCTGGCAGTTTGAATTTTAGTCTTGTAAGCGCATTTGTTCTGTGAAGCTAAACGGTTGCATTCATACTTCTCCCCTGTGTACTAAAAAGTAATATGTGAGGGGCCAGATGCTACCGCGAGACCAGATCTGTCTGAATTTGATGGTCAAAAAGCTTAAAAGCTGCTTTAAAAATAATTACGTGCTTTAAAAAATTGCATGAAATGACCCCCTAGCGCTCTTCATCATGTAATGGTCCAGTGGACTCTTTCAAATCTCATAGAACTCAGAGCTTTGCCGGAATTTGTATCTAGGTTCTGCGCACAATAAGGACCGCGCGAATGTAGATTGTAGATCAGATGGGCTAACAACTTATACAAAAATGGCGAAGCCAAAGTTGTCTGAAAAGCCTGCACATTCAGTCAGCATCGATTAGTGATACAAATTATGTAACGTAGTTTCAATTTAAACATGCGCGCTCGCAAGGCTTGGCAACAAAGCCTCGACGCCATGCGCTGCAGTCTCCTTAGCTCGCGCGGCATCGGTCTGGTAGCTAACACTGAGCCGCGGTCGACGAGCAAGTACAAATTACGACGCTTCTGGAAGCAGCATCTTTGAACGCTTTAGAACATCAAATCTCACATTTAGAAGGTAGTCCGGGGGTATATCTCACATGTATGACTTTCAGATCGATGACAGGAACGGATTGGCCTTAGCGGAACCGCTTGGTGCTGACATCTGGTGGTGGGACTGAAAAAGCAAAGGAAGAACCCCTTTCTTCCGTGTTGCTGTATCTGTCAAATCTGTCAATCTGTCCAGAGCTGCAGACTTCAAAGTTGCGGAATAGATCACCCAGCCTAATGCTAATTTAGAAAGACATTCGTAACCATCATTTCATGACGGTCGTTTTCGCGCGCACGGCGCCCGCCACCTGGTGTCACTTGCATAAGTCATCTCCATTCGACTGCGGAAGCTGCAGCCCGTTCCACCGCTGTCCCTGCTCTCGAGATTACAGGCACACAAGCTCAAGCCATTTGATGTAGTTTGTTTCTCTAGGCGATTCTGCAAAAGAATGAACGTTCTGAGACTAGACTGACTAGACTAGACTAGACTGACTGACTAGACTGCTGACATAAGATGACCTTATTCGTTTTTAACGCATTCGACCTTCTCTTTTCAGCACTACTGAGACCATTATTCTTTTCTGGGCGAGGTCACATTTGAGCAGAAGACTAAGATCACATTTTTGTTAGCGGTAAACGGCTGAAGGTCACTTCGTCCCAGCATGGGGCGTCTTCCGGCTGGCATTCTGGCAACACGCGGAGAGATTCCCTGGTCGATCCGGAGGCCCTTTCAAAGCTACATTATATCGCTTTGTTCCTCCCCCTGACGCCGGAGACCTGCTGACCAGCGCAGCTGGCCCAGGATCAATGCAGGAGCCCTCACTGACGCAACAACGTCCTTGATCGCCGGAGGTTGTCCAATAAGTGGTACTTAGTCTCCAGTGCTGGAATTGGGTTGAAGGGCCCACCGTTGGGTGCTGGGAGCCCTGGCTGACACAGTACCATTCCACGTTCTCAGTGTGAGCACTTATAAGTTCTCAAGTTTTCTTTCCCTGTCAGAGGGCCCGGCCTACGCAAGAAGCCCTCTGTCAATCGGGGTCCCGTCCCCGTTCCTACTGAGCAAACGTTTCCCCATCCGACTCGCGGCCCCTTATTGACACATAACACTTCGTTAATCACTTTGGGCCCCTGATACATACAGGAGGCCCGCAGGTGCCCCAACCAATGCAAATCACGGCCCGGCCTTGTCCCTGCTTGGGGATGGGCTCCCAGAGCTCAGACCGACAAGGCGCCGGCTGTTCGGTGATTCCTGGCCGAAACAGAGGAACGTGCTCTCTCAGGGGTCCCCAATCGGTGCAAGACGCCCTCCAACTGACATTTCATGCCACGTCCTGACGGGTGGGAGTCAATCTTTGGTCTCGAGAGTCCCTTCGGCCCCTCTTCTGGCCCCCTCAGCACCGCCCCTGGCCGACTCGGAGCCACCTGCCGCGATAGGATCCCTGTTAGGCAATGTGGCTCATGACCAACACGGGAGCCGCTCATTGTGTTAGCGACGCCGAACACTGCAAATCGTGCACCCCGGCCTCGTTCCTGCTAGAGAATTGGATCCCAAACGTAAGACGGACATGGGGTCGACTGTCTGGCTCAATGCCAAGGCCCTATATCATAGAGATGGAGAACCCTAATAAGAGGGCCCAACAGAGTCCTTACAATGGACATTTCAGGTCACGGCACTACGGGCCGCGATGCTACAGCTGCGTACAGCCACCTACAACCAGTCCTTCAAGCCCCTATGCCCTCCAACCGATCCTTCGTCGTCGGCTCCGTGGGCTGCCTGGGCCCCTCTTTGGGCCTCATCGAACAGTGCCCTTGGTCGGCTCGGGGCCCTTGTGAATACAGGATACTCCGCTAGGCGCTGTTGGCCCCTGACAGATACGCGGTCTCCGGCCAATGTAAGTTGCTGGACCCGGCTACAGACCGG